CCATAGCCTTTAAAAAGTCTTTAAAATGAGTGACATGGTCCCCCACAGGCTCTTCTGGCTCTTCTGTACAACCCTCCCTTGAGTCTGAAATTAGACCTAGGGGTACCCTCACCTGAATCCCATAAAAGAGATCAAAGGAAGCAAACACTGTAGACTATTGGAGTATATGCCTGTAAGTGAATAATAAAGAAGGGAGTAACATATCCCACTCATTCCCTCATCAAGTAACGTACAATCTCAGCAGGGCCGGCTTCAGGCACCAGCTTAACAAGCAGGTGCTTGGGGCGGCCAAGGGAGAGGGATGGCACCTGCGGCAATTCGGGGGCGGCAGGTCCCTCACTCCCTCTAAGAGCAAAGGACCTGCCACTGAACTGCCACCACCGATCGTGGTCTTTTTTTTTTTTTTTTTTTGCTTGGGGCGGCAGAAATGCTGGAGCCGGCCCTGAGTCTCAGGATAGACTTTCATCTTCCATTGAATCTTTCTACCAGACCACTGGTTTCTGGATGGCAGGGGAAGGCTTTTATAAGGCTCACTCCACACAACTCCCATAACTGTTTGAAAACTACAGACATGACATTTGGACCTTTGCCTGACAAAATTTCTCTGAGAAAACCAACTCTATTAAAAAGGTAATTAGGGCAGTAGCCATGGTTTCAGCTTCTATGTTAGATAGAGCTGTGGCTGAAAGGTACTTACTGGCAAAATCCACTACAATCACTATATATATTTCCATTTCTGGAAGGTCTGGGTAGAGGTCCCACAATATCTACATATACTCTAGCAAACACCACCTTAATAATAGGCAAAGATCAAGTCAGATGTCTTGCAGTGTCCCTTTAACCTCTAATTCTTTTGACATAAAACATAAATCTTGCAGTAATCTTTCACCATCTCAAAAATGTGAGTTCAACAGAAATTCCATTTTAGCCTATCACAAGGTTCTCTCCACTCCTAAGTGTCAAGCAAAGGGACAATCATGAGCTACCTTCAACATCCTGTACTCAACAAGCACCAGTACCAGCTTGTCAATTTTTCCCTAAGGGAGCCTCCTTGTACAACAAGCCTCTATCTAGAAAAAATCTGCCCTTTTCTTCCACAGATGGGGTATTATTCTGAGCCTTATCCCTCTCCTTGTCGAGGGAAGGATCACAAGAAATTCCTTGTGAGTCTCATTTATGTTAAGAGCAGGCTCTGGCAAAACAATGGGATCTCTAAATCCCTCCTCCGGGGACAATCTGTTACTTTCAGCTGACAAAGGACTGGGGGCATTTTCACCCCCCTCAAAACCCTCCCTGCTGTCCAAGACAAGTCAGGCAAGCCATACTGCTTCTGACTGCGAGTTATGATATTAACCTGCTTAGACATGACTAAAATATCATTACAAATTAAAACATCAGTGGGAGGTAGATTTCCAATATTAACAACATCTCCTTTCAAATTCTTGCACCCATGGTAGACCTTGGCCAATGGTACAGTTATAGGGAATTCAGCCAAAGCCAATTAAACTTTTACCAGAAGTCTGTCATCCTCTCTTATCAAACTTTCCTTGACCAAAATGAATTGGGACACTAGGTCCCTCCAGAGTCCAGCCCTTACAATCTATGCCATTTACCTTAGCCAATTTTCAGGGTGGAATGTGGCCCATTTCCAACAGTTGACAAGAAGGTGTGAGTATCAACAGTTACTTTTTGTAGTGACCCAGCTGCTCCCAGTCTTTATTGAGGCCTAATTAGATGGTGTCAAGTTTCCAAATTAATTCCAGTTCTGCAGTTTCTCGTTGAAGTCTGTTTTTGAAGTTTTTTTGTTGAAGAATGGCCACTTTTAAGTCTGTTATTGAGTGTCCAGGGAGACTGAAGTGCTTTCCTACTGGTTTTTGAATGTTACAGTTCTTGATATCTGATTTGTGTCCATTTATTCTTTTGCGTAGAGACTGTCCAGTTTGGCCAATGTACATGGCAGAGGGGCATTGCTGGTAGATGATGGCATATATCACATTGGTAGATGTGCAGGTGAACGAGCCCCTGATGGTGTGGCTGATGTGGTTAATTCCTATGATGGTGTCCCTTGAATAGATATGCAAACAGAGTTGGCAATGGGGTTTGTTGCAGGAATTGGCTCCTGAGTTAGTGCTTCTGTTGTGTGGTGTGTAGTTGCTGGTGAGTATTTGCTTCAGGTTGGGGGGCTGTCTGTAAGTGAGGACTGGCCTGTCTCCCAAGGTCTGTGAGAGTGAGGGATCGTCCTTCAGGACAGGTTGTAGATCCTTGATGATGCGCTGGAGAGGTTTTAGTTGGGGGCTGTAGGTGATGGCTAGTGGTGTTCTATTACTTTCTTTGTTGGGCCTGTCCTGTAGTAGGTGACTTCTGGGTACTCTTCGGGCTCTGTCAATCTGTTTCTTCACTTCCCCAGGTGAGTACTGTAGTTTTAAGAATGCTTGATAGAAATCCAGTAGCTGTTTGTCTCTGTCTGACGGATTAGAGCAAATGTGGTTATATCTTAGGGCTTGGCTGTAGACAGTGGATCATGTGATGTGGTCTGGATGAAAGCTGGAGGCATGTAGGTAAGTATAGCGGTCATTAGGTTTCCGGTATAGCGTGGTGTTTATTTGGCCATCGCTTATTTGCACTGTAATGTCCAGGAAGTGGATCTCTTGTGTGGACTGGTCCAGGCTGAGGTTGATGGTGGGGTGGAAATTGTTGAAATCCTGGTGGAATTCCTCAAGAGCCTCCTTCCCAGGGGTCCAGATGATAAAGATGTCATCAATGTAGCGCAAGTAGAGTAGGGGCACTAGGGGCAGGGCCGGTGCTTCCACTAGGTGACCCTAGGCGGCAGGATTTGGGGGGCAGCATTTTGCCGCCCTCAGTGGAAATTTGGCAGTGGAGGGTCCTTCTGCTCTGGGTCTTCAGTGGAAATTCGGCTGGGGGTCCTTCACTCGCTCCGGGACCCACCGCCGAAGTGCCCCGAAGATGTGGAACGGAAGGACCCCCGCCGCCGAAGGCTCAGAGGAGGAGCGCTGCCACCTAGAGTGGCAAAAAACCCTGGCGCCGCTCCTGGCTAGGGGACAAGAGCTGCGGAAGTGCTGTTCTAAGTCAGCCATAAAAATGTTGGCATGCTGTGGAGCCATGCAGGTACCCATAGCAGTGCCACTGACTTGAAGGTATAAATCATCCCCAAATCTGAAATAGTTGTGGGTGAGGACAAAGTCACAAAGCTCAGCCACCAGGTCTGCCATGACATTATCGGGGATACTGTTCCTCATGGCTTGTAGTCCATCTTTGTGTGGAATATTGCTGTAGAGAGATTCTACATCAGGGGTGGGCAAACTTTTTGGCCCGAGGGCCACATCGGGGTTGCGCAACTGTATAAAGGGCCATGTAGGGAAGGCTGTGCATCCCCAAACATCCTGGTCCCCGCCCCCTATCTGCCCCCTCCCACTTCCCACCCCTGACTCCCCCCTCAGAGCTCCCAACCCATCCAACCCCCCCTCTCCCCTCCTGGGACCCCTGCCGCCATCCAACCCCTCTGCTCCCTGTCCCCTGACTGCCCTCCTGACCCCTATCCACATCACACCCCCAGACAGGACTCCCACTCCCAACCCTCCCTGTTCCCCATCCCCTGACTGCCCCCCATGAACCTCTGCCCCATCCAACCACCCCCTCCTCCCTGATTGCCTTCCAGAACCCTCTGCTCCATTAACCAACCCCCCCACTCCCCGCCTCCTTACCAGCAGCAGGAGCTCTCAGCCATGACACCTGGCCAGAGCCAGCTGCGGTCCCCACACTGCCCAGCGGGAGCGGTGGGCCAGAGTGTGGCCCGTGTGGTGGCATGGCTGTGGGAAAAGGGGAACAGCGGGGGAGGGGTCGGGGACTAGGCTCCCCGGCCGGGAGCTCAGGGGCCGGGAAGGATGGTCCAGCAGACTAGATCTGGCCCGCGGGCCATAGTTTCCCATGTCTGTTCTACATCCATAGTGGCTAGGATGGTAATTTTCCCTCTGTTGATATTCACACCTTCTGTTCAACTGTTGGAAATGGGCCACATCCACCCTGATTGAATTGGCCTCGTTAGCACTGAACCCCCACTTGGTAAGGCAACTGCCATCTTTTCATGTGCTGTATACTTATACCTGCCTACTGTATTTCTCACTCCATGCATCCGATGAAGTGGGTTATAGCCCACAAAACCTTATGCCCAAATAAATGTGTTAGTCTCTAAGGTGCTACAAATACTCCTCGCTGTTAATCCTAATATAGTTTGCTAGGATTTCCTCCTGCTCCAGTCCTGCCCCTGGAGCAATGGTACTGGCATTCACTGGAGCATGTGGGGGAGTAGATCATGGTGTTACTTTAAGCCTCAGGCAATTCAGTTTTATATGATCGAGCTGTTTAGAGAGAAGATGAGTGAGAGGGGACATGATAAAAGCATATAACATAATGAATGACACAGAGGAAGGTCAGTGAAATACTCTGGTTTCCCATTTCTCCTCATATAAGAATTAGGGGGGCATTCAATAAAATTGAGGAGGAACTAATTGTAAACTAAAAAAAGGAAGCATATTTTTGCACCATGATCTATCCACCTATGGAACTCTCTGCCAGGACACATTACAAGAGCAGGAGTTTACTGGGACACAAAAAAGGATTAGATGTCATCTAGATAATTTAAAGCCAGTTACTTTAGATATAATAAAATTCAACAAAAGGGATATCAAACCTAATGTTTCTGGGCATAACCCAACAGCTAAATGCCAGGGGTTAGCACTGAGTTTCACGTATAATCAGGTTATCCCATAATTCTCCATTTTGGATATCCCTGAAGCTTCCTCAGAAGCATCCCTAACTGGTAACCGTCAGACACAAGATACCAAACTGAAGAGCAATTGTTCTGATACAGCATACATATCATTACCATTTCATTCCCAAAAATAAATTACCACCGCATTTAAAATATAGAAACTGTCCTCATAAACATCATAAACATCTCTTCTAAAGCAATACAATCGGGTTTAATTTATTTCTATTACATTTTCATGGAAAACAATTCTGTCAACCCACATTAAGATCTCAAAATGCTTGAATACGTAATAAATATAGAACAGATTCATGAAACCCACCTGGCCAGATGAATTTGGTGCCAGCTCCTGTTCCTTCACTGTCCCACTTTTCTCTGCACAGTTAGGAAAGTTGGGGCTGAAAACCATGAGGTCATTCTTGGCGGTGCCTTCCCCTACACACAAGTTCCGGCTCTGGCGCTGGGAATAGGACCAACTCCCCACTTCGCTCGAGCACACCACGGTGGCTTTCCCAGGCTCGCACATCACTTCCGGACCCGGGTGGCATCTCAGGCCAACGTACACGACAATCACCAGCACAAACAGCCCGGACACCGAGCAAATGCCGATCATTAAAGACACGTTCATGTCAACCAAGGGCCCTTCGCTCCTGCCCCTTTGCCTCGAGTCCCATTTCACAGCCTGGGGACTCTCCACTAGGGACAGGCTGACAGTGACTGTCACTGACAGCGCCGGTTCCCCATGGTCCTTCACCAGGATCACGAGTCTCTGGCTGGGGCCGTCCGCCTCCTCCAAGGCCCGCGTGGTGCTGATCTCCCCGCTGTACACACCCACCCGGAAAGGCCCCGCAGCCCTGGGCTCCTGCACTTCATAGCAAA